ATTTACTTTATTCATGCTTTCTTATTGTAGGCTATGACTTAATTTTTTTAATATCTTTCCAATTATATAATATTAAGATTATAATTATATAAATTGACAAATAAAAGAAAGAAAAAAAAAAGGAGAGCAAGGAGTTGCAGATAAGAAAATGTGTAAATAAAGATATCAATTTTATCTTTTTTCATTTAAAGATATTAATTTTGTTAATTTCTAAATAGAATGCCAATTTTTAACTTTTTGTATTTAAGGATACTAACTTTTAATTTTTTCTATTTAAGAATATCAACTTTTAACTTTTTCTATTTAAGGATTAATTACATGATAATACTAACATGACAAATTGAAAGCTAATTTCCTTAAATAGAAAAAATTGAAAGTTGACATCCTTAAATATAAAAAGTTGAAAGTTAGTATTTTTATTTAGAAATTAACAAAGTTAACTTTTTTAATAAAAAAAAATGTAAAGTTTATATACTAATTTACACCTTTTGCCAGCTGCGGACACATGATTCCATTTTGAACTTTTGTTTCTTTTCCTTAACGGTAAACAATAGTGTTGGTCCTCAACTTTCTAAATTTTTTAAACTTTACTCTTTAAATTTTAGAATTCTAAAATTTGGTCCTTAATTTCACCAATTTATTCATCCTTTTATGTTGTGAAACATTATGATTTAGTTCTATATTATGATTTTTAAAAGTTAAGTCCTATCTTACACAAATAATGAAAATAATGTAAAATTGAATAAAATCATATTAAATCCATCCAAATATTAATAAAATTAAAGCTAAATTAGCATTCTATTGTGTACAAGAATTCAACCTATCAAGTACTATAACGAAAATAACTATTAATCTATAGAGTCAAAAAGAGGGCACATGTATAGTAGAGATAAATATAAAAATAAAATGTTAAGTGAGAAGTTGAGAGACTTAATCATAGAAAAATTATTAATAAGAGAATTGGAGTAAAGGTTAGTAAAAAAGAACTTGAAAATAATGTTAAGAAGTTGTATTGCTTATGTTTTGGTAAAAAACATTTCTAATATTGACAATAAAAGAGAGAGAGAAAGGCACACAGAGAGGGAAAATTTAGGATAAGAAAGATAATATAATGATAGATAGGGACACAATGAGTGATTAAGAAAAAATAATATAGAAAGAAAGCTTAGGAAGATGAGAGAATAATAACAAAAAAATATTAATATAGAGAGGGAAATGAGGGGAATGTATTGTAGAAAGAAATATAATGATAAAATGTAAGAGGGGAAGTTAAGAGATAAAATTTCAAGAAAAGCAAATGACAGAAGTGGAGTAAAGGTAAGTGAAAAAAATACTATAAGAGTAATAATAATAAGTTACAACTTTTATGTTTTGATATAAAATTTTTCAAAAAAAACATGTTGAAATAGAAAAAAATTGTCAAAATAACATATATAACGATAGATTGAGATAGATGAAATTTCTAAGAAAGAAGGATAAAGATGGAAATATAATAAAAGAAAAAATGGAATGTAGGATAAATAATTAAAGGCCAAATGCCAAATTAACCCAAAAATAAAAGGGCAGGGAATAGATTTGGCCCTTAAAAAAAAGGAAGAACAAATTGTTTCTGCAAATTGTTGATCAAGATAAATCACCTATTATTTAATGTACGATGTCATCATACATTAGTTTTTGTTAAAAACATGCTTAGATGACTAATAGATTTTTGACATGTGATGAAGTTACACATTAAATAATAAATTATTTGTTTTAATCAATAATTTAGAGAGGTAATTTGTCCCTGCTTCTTTTTAGGGGTAGATTTGTCTCCATCCTCTTATTTGGGAGGTGGATTTTCGGGTTTTGCCAATAATTAAATGGAACGATATAAAATGTGAGGGGGGAAGCTAAGAAATGGTGTTTCAAAAAAAATTAATAAGAGATTGACTAAAGCTGAGTGAAAAATTGAGTGCCAAAAAATAATTTTAATAAGTCTTGTCTTTTATATTTTCACTTGCAAATATTTCTAATATACATATATACATACATACATATATATATATATATATATATATATATATAAAGGGGCAGAGAGGAAGACAAATTACTTTAAAAAAAGATATACATAATGATAGAAAAATATACATACATAAAATGATTAAGAAAGAACAATAGAGAGGGAAAAATAAGGGATAAAGAGTTTTAAAAAAATAATTTCTAATATAGTGAGAGATTTACAAAATATATACATATATATACACACACAAAGATAATACGAAAGAGTAAGGTGAAATGGATGCAAAAGGATAATGAAAGCGTAAAATAATATGAAAAAGATATCAATTTAAGAAATAGAAATGATGAGAGATACATACACTATGTTAAGCTTGAAATAAAATGCATAATAATAACATAATTTTATGATGATGAAACAAACTAGAGAACTGAAGGTGTTTTATAGAAAGATATGGATACAGATATGGTATTAATGTAAGAAATTGAAAATGTATAATATGTGAATAGATAGGGATATGAGGTAATTGAGGAGACAAAAAGGAAGAGAAAGAATAACATTAAACAATTTATTAATCTATTATTACCACACACAAAAATTTATTAGTATATAGAGAGAGAAAAATAGATAGAGATGATTGATAAATTTTCATAACTTAATTTTTGATATATTTGATGATAAATTATACAAAAAGGGATAACTCTTCCCATTTTTCCAAATTCCTCCTATCTAATTCAAGGTTTAAATGTGAGATCTCCAACTTGCAATTTCAAGTTCTTAACTAATTGAGCCACCACCTCAAGACAATCTTCATAATTTATTAGAGTGATGCTATAGTGTCAATTGGTCCATAGACCACAGGTAGATGGTCCCTTTAGCTTTTATGCTTTTTTACTTTTTAGACTCTATTTTTCAATTTTAAGCTTTTTAATTTTTAATATTTAAATTATTAATCCTAAATATCAAAATATTCAATCTTAAATATTGAATATTAAAAGAATCTAAAACTTAATACCTTAAATACTAAACCTTAAAAACCTTTAAACTATAACAACATTGAATTCTAAAAACGCTAAACCCTAACTTCCCTAAAATTAAATTATAAAAAAATTTAAATCCAAACATTCTAAGCACGGGTAAAATATAAACCCTAACATGCAAGCTTCAAACCCTAAACTTTTAAAAAGCTTATTATATGCTAAAATTATAATAATAAAAAATTAAAGGACTAAAATGATTTTAATCTACTAAATTTATGGACCAACTAATAATTTAGTCATAAAATAAATTGGGAAAATGGATGGACAAACGTATTTTGGTTTCCAATTGGCTTGAGGGTTCGACCCTCTAAGCATTATAGTAATAAATTATTATTTTTTAAAATTAAATTAATTAAATTTATATACTTAAATCTTTTTTATATCTATTTTTCAGAATTTTTTATGATTTAATACATTTAACAATACTTTAAAATATATTTATAGTTAACTATTATTAAAAAAATTTATAATTAATAATAATAATAATAATAAAATACAGGGGGACCACACAGAGTGTGGTTTGAGTTCTAGCTAGTTATAGCCTAAAATTGAATTATAATCTATAATAATAGTTGTAAATTTATATTATATCCATGACGAATTTAAACAATTAAATATAAAGAGTCATCTACAAAGAAAAATTAAAAGCGATCACTATAGGAGCAAAGACAGAGCAACCTAGGATTGATTGGATCTGCCTTGCAAGTCCAATTGGATACTCACTAATTGATAGTGAAGGCCTCTAGTCTTTAAATGCATTTTTTGTTGGATCAAGAGTTCTCAAATAGAAGTATGAGATGCCAGCCCCCTTATTAGGCAATCCGTCACTAAATGAAACAAACATTCCAGCTGTGTGCATGTTGATATTTTTGTTTTGTTGGAAATAATGCTGGAGAGTGTAACGGTGGCATCAAAAAAAGTACTTTGCTCAAAAACTACTTCAAAAAACTGACAAAAGTTAAAAATTGAACGAGTTAGAACCAGTCCAGCTGGTTCTGATTCCTTAAATGAGCCCTTAAATAGTACACAACATAACAAATTTTAGACAAAAACAAGTATTTTGTTCTTATAGATATTCGACTTTGTTATGATTTGAATCTCTAGTCTAAATCTCAGCAGTTGTTGGTCAATTAAAAAATAAAGCTTCCAGTCCCAGTATTTTGAAACACCATACATTGAACTCTTTCAAATCTAATGGATATAAATTTAAAGCAATTAAGATCCGACAGTACCCTATTAATTAAGTCATATCTTTTTCATGAATCCTGTTAATTTTTAAGTTTATATAGATACAGGTACACAAAATTCTTGAAAATCATTCCTTCACTATCAAAAGAAAGAAAAAAATATATAAAAAAAAAGAGGAAAAATTTGATACCAATTTCTAACTTCTTAAAAAGTGTCAAATTATTAACAGAACTTAAAAAATGACATTATATGATTATGGTACAACTACTTCCACAATACGCAGCAAAACCTAAATAGCTTCAACATGAGGAATCAGTTCATGAATAAGAAATTAATTTTCTTGGTTGTTGTCATGAAGAGTTAAACTCTAGAATTAACTTACAAGACAACATTTGCTTATTAACAGTGGATGCAAACTTACTATTCACAAAAGTTTTATTACGGAAAGGGAATTTTTTTTTTTTTTGGGCACATCAGCAGGAGAATACTAAATACTAAAACTAAGTTCTGGGAAAAAATAGTTCCCATGGCATCACCAAGTGGGATATGATGTAACCCACGTGGAGGTGTGTCTAGAATTGTTGTCCCTAGCTGTGTTGCGAAAGGGGATTGATTCAGTTAAACACATCGGACGCCAGGAAATTCTACTTTTCACTGCCCTTCAAGAAATTTTTCGTTTCACTGCTCCAAAAGATAGAATCAAATCTATATTTTATGAATAATTCGGAATTTGATTCAGATTTTTACGTATTCTTTTGGTCTTGATTGGTATGCAGAAATCAAATTATCAAAGGAATTATCATATTGCTTGTTCTGCCATGGTAAAGAATGTTCCACCATTCGTGGTGTTCCAGATGAATGCGATCTCCACTAGCTAGCATTGGCAGAATTTACGGTTCAAACTGATCGGGAAGATGCTTCTCTCCACTCCTACAATTAATTTCCTTGTTGAAAACTTGAAAGAGAAGCTGGGTCAATCCGGAAATAGCAGTTGCAGTCCCAAAACTAGCAACTCCTGTATATAAATAGCGGTTCTCATTAATTAACACCCACTTCTCCTTTGAATTTTATTTCTTTCACCCATAAGAAAGAAAATGGCAGAGTCAATTGTTTCCTTTATCACGGACCAGCTAAAAACAACCATCATTGAAAAGGTTAAAGAGGAGGTGACGCTACTAATCGGTGTTAAGGAAGAGGTGAAAAGGCTGGAAAGAAATCTGAAACTCATCCGCACCGTGCTTGCCGATGCAGAAGAGAAGAAGACAACGGACGTAAATGTCAAGCAATGGCTAGATTCACTAAAAGAAGCTGCTTACGACATGGAGGATGCGTTGGATGAGTGGAGAACTGCAGTGGAGCTGGAAGTGCATGGAGCAGATGATCAAAATGCTGCTAGTACTGCTACTCCTTCTCATTCTCATCATAGGAAAGTACTATGCAATTTACTTTCATGCTTTCCTTTTCGTCGGCTAGATACCCGTCATAAAATTGCCCTCAACATAAAGAAAATCAATAAAAGATTAGATAAGATTGCAAAGGAGAAAGATAGGTACAATTTAATGAGTAAGGAAGAAGTTGAACTTCCCAAACGGCCAGAAAGTTCGTCCTTTGTTGATGTATCCCACATACTGGGTCGGGATGTGGTGAAAAGTGAAATACTGAGCTATTTGCTTGGAGGGGATGGGGATAGTGAAACAATTGAAACAATCTCTATGGTAGGCTTTGGGGGATTAGGGAAGACAGCTCTGGCACAACTGATCTATAATGAGCAAGCTGTCCAAAAACATTTTGACAAAGTACTATGGGTTTGTGTCTCTGACCTTTTTGATGAGAAAAAAGTGGCAAAAGCAATCATTCAAGGGCTTGATAATATTAGTGGTGCTGAAGCATATGGCCTAGAATTAGAGTCATTGCAGGTCCTTTTGGAAAGAATTTCTAAGTCTGTTAGGGGAAAGAAATTTCTTCTTATTTTAGATGATGTTTGGGCACAAAGTGGGGAGAGGTGGGAGTCGCTAAAAGTTACTTTTAGAAAGGGTAGTGGGGGAAGTAGAATTTTGGTGACGACCCGTGATGTTCATGTTGCAACAATGATGGGGTCCTCACAGTCCCAAGTCATACATCTAGAGAGATTGGGGGATGAGGTATGTTGGTTAATACTATGTGAAATAGCATTTATGGGAAGGGAGCAGGGGCATGCGGAACATCTAGAGGAAATTGGGAGGAGAATTGCAGCTAGGTGTAAAGGCTTACCGCTTGCAGCAAAAACTCTTGGAAGCCTCTTAAAGTTTAAAAGAAGTAAACGACAGTGGGAGGATGTCTTGAATAGTGAGATATGGAAATTAGATTTGGCACAAAAAGAAATTTTTGCTCCTTTGTTGTTGAGTTATTATGATTTACCCCATCCAATAAGAAGGTGCTTCAAGTATTGTGTAATTTATTTGAAAGACCGTTTGTTCTGGGCTCGTGACTTAATTGATCGTTGGATGGCACAAGGTTATTTAGGCCTTCAGAATGATGCTGATTTGGAGTCAATAGGGCAAGACTACTTTGACTTCTTAGCAAGCCGCTCTTTTTTCCAAGAGTTTGAGATGCGTGAAGGAGGAACCATGCTTACATTTAAAATGCATGATATGATACATGACTTCGCCAAGTATTTGGCGGAGGATGAATTTGTGACAAAGGAGGTCCATTGTGATGATGATTTGAATATTGAGTTAGAAAAAAGTCGCCACTTGACATTGGTGCTTCACGGGGAGGTGCCCTTCCCTTCATCCATTTCTGGTGTAGAAAAATTGCGAAGCCTTCTAATTTCTTGTATTGGAAGAAGGACCGGTCAATATTCTGTTCTTGAGGCCTTGCCTAGTATCTTGAATAAATCAAGACGCTTAAGGCTATTGGATTTAAGTTGGGCCTGTGATTACTTCGGAAAACAAGTTCCCATAGAAATAGGGAAATTGATTCACTTGAGGCATCTTACCTTGGAAGGTTGTGCGCAAATACAGGAGTTACCTCAACAACTCTCAAACCTACGCAATTTGCTGGAGTTGGATCTCAAGTTATGTGAAAATCTTAAGGAGTTGCCTTGTTGGATCGTAAAATTAATCAACTTGAGGACTATTCGTACTTCTGGTTGCGAGGCTCTTACTCACTACCCAAAATGCATCCGAAGATTAACTTCCCTTAGAAGTTTAATGGGAGCGATTGTCAGAGCTGATTGCAATGATGCTCAAGAATTTAGTATTGCAGATCTTGGAAACTTGAAGCACCTTTGGAGGGTTTGGTTGAAAGTGAAGGGAGATACAATCGATCGCGAGGAGGCTAGAAAAGCCCAACTCTATAATACTGAGGACCTGAGGATATATCTGACCGGCCAGATACAGAACGTTTACATAATTGAAGCCTTAGACCCACCTCATGATGCAAATGTGCAGTTCTTCGACAACTACTTGTACGTTTGAACTATAGAAGAGAAGGTACCTACCGATACCGCTACTTCATTTATAATTATTATATTTCTTTCTTAATTTCCCAAAATTTTCAGATATTTGTAGATTCTTCACACACTAATTATAGACTTTCCTTTAACTACGTGCAGTGTGCTGACTTTTCTCCTTTGTTACCTTCTACTTTTCAAAGCCCTTGAATCCTACCTGGGGATAGGATAGCAAGTGTAAAGGTGACTTGTATAATACTAATAACTTAAGTTTGAGGCCGTAAAACCAAACTAGCTGGATGTTTCTGGCTGCGATGAGATCTGTTAAGTTAATTTCTTGTTATTTTGTACTTGGAATATTATGTACAAGAATTGATCAATGTCTCGATCAGCATGTGAGTGTGTAATTTTTAAAACTAGCAGGAAAAACATAATGTGTGTCTGCAGCTCTCGAGTTGTTTGTTTCAATTTAACTTTTCATCTTTTAATTGTACAAATCGTTGCAAACAAGCTACTTCACTTGGATTTGCATTATGTCATGTGACTTTTCATGAGTAAAAGTGGAATGTTCGTCCCGTGTTTATTTTCAACTTTTTAAACTATTGTTATTATAGAGAATAATAAAGTTCATTTTTCTATTAAGCTAAATCTATAGCACTAATTAAAAGATGATTTCGCACATGACATATATAAATTAAATATAAAGAATTATCATTTATTAAAAATTACCTAGATAATTGTTATAGGTGGAGCAAACAGATTTGAGGGGACTACTCGATTGTGTGTCCGAAACATTTGAGAAGTCCGACGTGTCCAACTTTTGAGATAGAAAGACTAGTTAGGGATCTTACCTAACATGTTATCAACAGTCGAGACAACTGCTATCACCCATGTCCACGCTATCTTCCAACTCTTTAGGGACAAAACTCCATGAAAAGCATCGAGAGAGCCTACATAGAAACTTCCAAAATTGAGTGACAAACCCTGAGAGAGAGAGAAAACCCCTTTTATTCATCTATCCTTGAGTCTCTCATATATTTAGATTGAAAGGAATGGAGGAGAGTAGAGGGAAAAAAAAAATTTTTTTGATCATTAAAAGAATTAGAAGGAAGAGGAAAGAAGTCTTTTATTTTTTACTCTTTTAATTCATTTATTTATCTGAATAAATAGAAAAGAAGAAAGTCCTTTATTTTTTTTTAATTAATTTATTTATCCAAATAAAGGGAATGAAAGAGAGGAGAATGAAGGGATCTCTCATCTCCTCTTTTCCCTTTAATTCAAACATACTATTAGGGGAGAGAGGCAGCTACGTACGATGGTCACGATGGCTAATGTAGGGGAGAAAGCAATAAAGAGTGGGGTTAAGAAGTGGAAGAGAGAACTTTTAACACTGCCAAAGGGGTAACTCAATAGTTATGAATTTGAGATTTCAAATTAGAGATTTCAAATTCAAATATTGAATCAAGTAAAAAGAAGTTTAAGGAAAGAGAAGGGTTATCAAGTAAAAAGATCTTTTTCGTATAACTTATCATTATTAGATGTACAAAAAAACAAAAAAAACTTTTGACTACTAATTTATTATAAGGAAAGTGATAAACGAGACTTAAATGAAATAGAAATAATCAAAGCCATTAAAAGCAAGGGCCACACCCAATATTATGGGCATGCATGATTTGCTGTCCCACATTTTCCTCTTGTTTCTTCATCCTATGAATTGGTGTTCTTATTAGAAATATTTTGTGTAATTTAAATTACGTTAGACTATATTAAACTAAACATTGATGCGGGAAAACTCTAAAAATATGGGATTATCCTCTCATTAATGGTCGTAGATTGCTAAAAAGCTTTCTGTTAATTTTAGAAAAAAAGTTAAATGTTTATCTTTTCAACTAATTGACTTTCGATATTTTTTTTAAAAGTTGATGAAAAAATAATTCTTTATAAATTTCTTAATTTCAATGGCATATAAAGAGAGATTGTGCCTAATAAATAGGTAGCTTTTTATGATTTGCCTCCCCAGAGAAAAAAAATTAGATTTAGCATGATGGACGAAAACTAACCCGTTTCATTAGAATATGTTCCAATTCACCGGCTGCAAATATGCCCCCCTGCTGACTTCTCCGATTGTAGGGATCTTGAGCAGGCAGGATTTGAGGCCAAGCATAAAACATTTTGACTGCATTTTCTCGTCTGGCACATCTTT